TATCCCCCAAAAATTTGACGAGTACGCATACATTATAAACAATGCATGTTCAAGAAAAAAGACATTCTAAAGAAATCCACAATTTAAAAGGAACGACTTTACGTACTCAATAATTGCAGCAGTTGCAGTTAGTCATATTATTCAAAATATATCCAAATAAATAATTTCAAGGAGCATCTGAAAAACCTGACAGCAATCAAGAGAAGCTAGAGAATTTGACAACGAACTGAAAGAGGACAGCTACGAATCGAATGGATCGGATTTTTGATTTGTGTTTTTCTTTTTTCTTTCTTTTTTTCTTCTTTAGAGTAGATGACAGTAAGTTTCGATAGCTGGGACAAGGACATTCATCGTGATGGAAGAATTATTGTGCAAGAAACGAATGAATAACACTTCAAAGGTAATAAGAACAAGAAAAGTCCATTGAACGTGACATAATAAAAATAAAGAAATTATTCATTGTAGAATTTACGCCAACAAAAAATGGATATCAAAAACAGAAGGAAGCAACAAATTTAAACTAGTTGACAACGGTCAACGTAAGTAGTTACATCACACATCATTCAAATATATTTTACAAGCTTGGACGTTTTCGAAAAGGGAATTTTTGGGATTGAGCAATTTGAAGCTACTGGCGCAATTATTTCAATATTAAGGAAGAAACATCCTAGTTCCAAGTTCTACACCTCCACATCACACAGAAATTTCAACATAAACTTTCCTTTTTAATGAAGGTAATTACCTTTTATATGTTTAAAATTATTTTTGTGCCCCTAAAATGAAAAAATGCCCCATCGTCCTGCCCAATTTTTTTTTCGGTCTTTATATTTCTCCCTTTTTCCAGTTACAAAAGCATTATAACTTCACCCATATTTTAACTGTTTTTCTTTTCGTTCAAACTTTGACAGGATATCATGCAGAAATTTATCAAAATGTTGCAAATCGTTCAATTATCCAAAATTTACAAATGCTGACTTTGCGAGGACATACATGCAGTTAAATGCAACAACAACTACAACTGATGTGGCTTGAATAGAATCAACGGAAATATTACTTCAAAATTCATCAAAATATAGGAATTCGTTAAACATATTCCAACGAGCATCTGAAAAACCTGACAGCAATCAAGAGAAGCTAGAGAATTTGACAACGAACTGGAAGAGGACAGTTACGAATCGAATGGATCGGATTTTTGATTTGTGTTTTTCTTTTTTCTTTCTTTTTTTCTTCTTTAGAGTAGATGACAGTAAGTTTCGATAGCTGGGACAAGGACATTCATCGTGATGGAAGAATTATTGTGCAAGAAACGAATGAATAACACTTCAAAGGTAATAAGAACAAGAAAAGTCCATTGAACGTGACATAATAAAAATAAAGAAATTATTCATTGTAGAATTTACGCCAACAAAAAATGGATATCAAAAACAGAAGGAAGCAACAAATTCAAACTAGTTGACAACGGTCAACGTAAGTGATTACATCACACATCATTCAAATATATTTTACAAGCTTGGACGTTTTCGAAAAGGGAATTTTTGGGATTGAGCAATTTGAAGCTACTGACGCAATTATTTCAATATTAAGGAAGAAACATCCTAGTTCCAAGTTCTACACCTCCACATCACACAGGAATTTCAACATCAACTTTCTTTTTTAATGAAGGTAATTACTTTTTATGTTTAAAATTATTTTTGTGCCCCTAAAATGAAAAAATGCCCCATCGTCCTGCCCAAGAGCTGTCCCTGGAAGAGGACAGTTACGAATCGAATGGATCGGATTTTTGATTTGTGTTTTTCTTTCTTTTTTTCTTCTCTAGAGTAGATGACAGTAAGTTTCGATAGCTGGGACAAGGACATTCATCGTGATGGAAGAATTATTGTGCAAGAAACGAATGAATTACACTTCAAAGGTAATAAGAACAAGAAAAGTCCATTGAACGGGACATAATAAAAATAAAGAAATTATTCATTGTAGAATTTACGCCAACGAAAAATGGATATCAAAAGCAAAAGGAAGCAACAAATTTAAACTAGTTGACAACGGTCAACGTAAGTAGTTACATCACACATCATTCAAATATATTTTACAAGCTTGGACATTTTCGAAAAGGGAATTTTTGGGATTGAGCAATTTGAAGCTACTGACGCAATTATTTCGATATTAAGGAAGAAACATCCTGGTTCCAAGTTCTACACCTCCACATCGCACAGGAATTTCAATTTTTCCAATTTTTTTTTCGGTCTTGATATTTCTCCCTTTTTCCAGTTACAAAACCCATATTTTAACTGTTTTTCTTTTCGTTCATGGAAGTTTTTGAAGAAAAAAATTCTCGGACGTAATCAATTAGAAGCATTCAAGACAATTGTTTTTTTTCGGTACTTAGATTGCTTCCACTTTGCCACATACATTAGCTTCAAAACCAAGTTCCTTTTCGTTGTCGCCAAAAGGATGCATATATTCGTTTGAAACTTGCACTTGATTGAGAACTAGAAGAAATGAATAAACTTGCTTGCATTGATGATAAATACATTCAGCATGTTAATAATTTAATTAAACAGGAAGAAATTACATGACACAGAAACAGATAATTTTACTTTGAACGGAACAATCCACGTTGGTCGTGAAAAGTTTGTCAAAAAATTCAGCTCATATGATTAGGCTGTTGACTGGGCATTAGTTTATGGGGAAAATAATTTAATTCATTGGCATTACGTGCCTGTTTATTACTTCGTAGAAACAAGAATATCATCCCCAAAATTTCGTGAGTCCGATTACATCAGTGACGGAGCATGTTCGAAAGAAGGTATTTTACAACAAAATTTTAAATTTCGAGATTAAAACCTCTTTTACATCCTTCCTAAGTTTTGGCCTCTGTCCACAAAATTTGATAATTTTAAGCACTTAGTTTTTCCATATATGACATTTGATTCGTAAATCATTTCTCTTTCAATTTTAATGTTTATTGTGTTTGGTGATAATGCATAATTTACTCGGTTCAAAAGACCCAAGACCACTTTTACATGCTTTGCGTGGAAATAAGATTTTATTTTTAAAAGGAGCAGTGAACTTAAGTGTCTCGATGCTTTTTCAATGGCGCGATTTTATAATTGATCACTGATTGGGGTGCTCAGGAAGTTAATTTTAGGTAAATTAATATTTAGAATTCTTTGAGAGTATCAAATAATATACGTTGATCGAAAAAGTGAAAAGTTTGTCAAAAATTCAGCTTATATGCTTATGTTGTAGACATTGGTCCCTAGTTTATGGGAAAAATAATTTTTTCCCCCGGAAGTGCCTGGTCCACGAGAAAACAGGGTTTGAATTTTTGAACTTCACGTAATTTTTAAAATGCTATTGTGCTTCACCTACTTATCCGTTTGTCTTCACATTTTTTTTTATTTGATAGATACAATCAGATCCAGATTCGGTAAAATTTGATACATTTTTAAAACTTTGATGATATTTACTAGAAATTACATATTTATGTGATTTATTATATACCATTGGAAAGCTTTTTAAATGAACTTTATGAAAATTGCAGAAATGTTTTGATTTTAACTAGTTAAAGTAGCTTTATTGAGCATTTAATGGTTTCATAACATCATATATCACTTTTTGCCTAAATTTTCAACAAAATTGTATTTTTAATTAAAAACTTTTGTAGTAGATGTTAAGTACATTGCTTTTTGAATAAAACCTGAAAATTTCAGTTCCTTTCATTAAGACTGGTATGTGAAAATTCATTTTGAATTTTGAGATACCTCACTAGACCAACTTCAGGCTCATATTTTGAAGCTTTCCGGCAAGTGATTCTTTTTTCTTATTGCATTAATTGATAGAACATACTAGGGTCTACAAATTAATGAAACAAAATTTGGGAACCGGACATGGACAGTGGATCACAATTGAGAATATAGCAAAAAATATGCAAATTTTTGACTTCAAAGTTAATTTTCACTACTCAAACTACATAAAATCTGTAGATTATGCATGTTATAATTGTAGATATAAATGAGATCTACAAAATACTGCAATCTAAAAATATTTAGAAAGCCTGATATAGTCATGAGGTCCAAAAAATAACAAAAAAACTAGTTTTTTCGAACTATTTTCAACTTTTAGGAACCAATATGCACAAAAAGTATATCATGAGGGTATTCATAAGAAAGTTCTCACTTGTATCTATCAAATAAAAAAAAATGTGAAGACAAACGGATAAGTAGGTGAAGCACAATAGCATTTTAAAACTTACGTGAAGTTCAAAAATTCAAACCCTGTTTTCTCGTGGACCAGGCACTTCCGGGGGAAAAAATTATTTTTCCCATAAACTAGGGACCAATGTCTACAACATAAGCATATAAGCTGAATTTTTGACAAACTTTTTACTTTTTCGATCAACGTGTGATCTTTAGCTTATTTTTATTCAGCACATTTTGAAAAATTGCATTCTGTAACACATGGATTATTAAGTTCACCCACAGAATTATTGACAACTGTATGCATTTTGATTAGCTCCGAATCTGCCAAAAAGAAAATGTGACAAAGAGGTCCTTGGTTCACTATGAATTGTTATATTTATAGAATTTTATATTAAGTATTGAAATGAAATGAAATCTCAAGGTTCATTAAGTTTATATACTTCTCGTTTTGAACATTTTGGTTTTTTTAATTTTATGGCATTTCTTAGAAAATGTTATGTCAAAAAAAAGAACAATAAGAACAAAAACTTCATTTTACAAAGCTTATTATATTGAAAATATTGCCTCAGGTGAAGTTAGAGCATTTATTGTGCTGTTCATGCATGTGCTGAACAGAATAGGAGGCACAACTTTTTTATTAAGTTTCCAAAACCAAAAAATTAATTGGAATTAGTTGAATAGCTGAAAAAGATTAATAAACTGTGTCAACCAAGCATTTTCAGACGTTCCTTGATTCCAAATTTTAAGAAAATTAAAGACTCCCTGTAAAAAACAGCTTTAAATTAACAACAAATATTAAAATTGTGTGTATATCGGAACTTAATGATTATTTTAATAAATAAAACTTTTTTACAAAGGATAATATTGCGACGGATCATTCATTTCTGGCTGTAATTCAATGCTTCTCTCTTGATAATTTTTAATAATTGCATCATACTTTTTCTTCTTTTCAGATCGTGGATCAATTTGATGACGTCCACGCATATGTTTTGAATAGTTACTCCAACTAGGATATCGTTCATGACAAATTGGGCATTCATGTGTAAATTCTCCGGTGTGTAAACGAGTATGGACAAGTAAATCATATTTTGCAGCAAACCGCTTATCACAAAATTCACAACCTATTTTCGATTAATTAAAATATTTGAAATATTTTTGTAAATATCCAACAATAACAAATACTAATTAAGATACATACTGAAGGGACGTTCGCCAGTATGTGTTAATATATGACCTTTCAACGTTCCTTTCGCTCTAAACCTTTGACCACAAATCTCGCACCCAAAATTACGTTCTCCCGTATGAATTCCTAAACACAAAATTGATGAAAATTGTTTCCATTAATTATTGAAATCTCATTTCCGACTGTTTTTGCCTCACCTTTGTGATGCTTTAATTTATACTTGTTTTTAAATCCTTCACCACACGTTGTGCACACGAATCTATGTCCAACCAGTGCAATTATTTGTATTACAAAGAAAGAATTAAAGGATTTGAATCACTTGAAACTAATATTGTATATTAAGCACTACATACGGTTTATCAGTTTGATGCACCATCGCATGATTAATTAATGTTGATTTTGCATTAAAGCTCTTCCCACATGTCTCACAAATCCATCTGAGAATTCATACAAAATCATTAGAGGAACTTACAAAAATTTATAACAACTTACACTTTATTTTCATTCTTGACATGTGTATCGAGATGACGCTGTAATTGATTCTGTCTTGTAAATGATTTGGGACAAATTGAGCACGTAAAGTTCCTCGATTGCTTCAACTTATCCCCTTTTGTTGAATGTACTTCCTTATGATGTCTTATATCATAGACTGATTTATGATATTTTCCACAGTATAAACATATAAATGCTTTATAATCTTCATGTTCTGTTTTATAATGATGATATAACGTCTTATAATTCCAATATCCATTAAAGCAAATAAAACAGAAATATCTCAAGTGTTCATGATGTATTGTAAATGTATGATTAACGTACGATTCCAAGTTAAGAAAAGTTTTGTGTTCAGGACAACTTTTACACACAAAACTATTTTTTGTTTCTGAATGTTCTGCATTATAGTGCTCATAAAGCTGATAGATAGTCGATGATTGAATACCGCAGTGAGTACATTGATAGATTGCAATATTATTCCACATACATTCGCTAAACCTCTCCTTACATTCTATAGTAACAGTCCCATCTGAGTTCTTCTGATCTTCTAATAAATTAAATGGACTTTTTTGCTCAAACGAATCACATTTTATTTCCTCTTCAAATATATCTTCCATTGTGAGGGATGCTACTTTTGTAGAATCGATTTCGACAGGTTGAATGGATTCTATGTTATGCACTCGAGATTCGTGATTAATTAAATCAAATGATTTCCTAAAATACTGTCCACATCTGATGCAATGAAAAAGTGCTGTTCGATCTGTTTTTTCATGACTGCTTTCATAATGCTGATTGAGACTCCTTGTGTTCCAAAACATTTCAGAACAAATTACCTGCAAGTAAGTTTAAAATTGCTAAAAAAATAGTGTTTGTCTATGAATTTAAGTCATTACTTCAGAGTTGCGAAACAGGTCACCTGTGACAGGTGAGAACCTTTCAATTCCTTGATAATTTGTATGGTTTTGTTAGAAAAACCTTATAAATTATCAAGGAATTGTAGGGTTTTCACCTGTCACAGGTGCCTGTTTCGCAGCTCTGCATTACTTACACAACAGAATTTCAAATGTTTTTGGTGTTCAGGATAGTGATTCAAAAATTGATAGAAGTAACTAAAGTTGACATCATTTTCATGGGCACATTCAGAGCATCGAAATTGAGTATCTAGTGAATGATATTTAAAATGATGTTGCCTTAATTCAAACGGTCCTTTTGTAAATTGATCGCATTCAACACAACCAATATTTAAGTCATTCCACGTCTTTCCTTCATACAATACTAAGGACTTTTTCTTTATTGTTCCATTCTTGTTTCTATCACTTTGCGGCACTTCCTGTAAGATTTCATTCTCATCTTCACCAATGCTACTGGATTTCTTTCTCTTCATTCTAACTCGTCGATGCTTTATTGGTCTTTTTCTCTTATAATACTTGTTTCCTTCATAGTCACTGTCGGAACTGGAATCATCAAATTCACTTCCTTCATTGCTGTTTTGAACAATCTCTGACGCTCTCTTTCTCCGTTTGCTTAATTTTGGTTCTGTTGACTCATCTGGATCTATCTCAATTTTAGGCTCATCAACAAATAAATTCAGTACTTTACTATCTTCTATTAGCGCAGGAAGATCTTCAATTTCTATTTTAATGTCATTGATTAAAGCTGAAAATTTCATCTGTGTGATTCTTGCATCCTCTGTAAATTTGGCAAAATTCTCAATTGTATAGTTACAGTCATAGCACAGTTTGTTCGGTAACCGTACATCCAATAAACTTAGGTTTATTCTACAATGATAGTCAATCATATTTTGCAATTCTAAACTGATATCCAATAAATCTGATAATTCTAAGGTTTTTCCACACATTCTACACTGTTCTCTCTCCATTTTCTGATACTTTTTATTGTTATGCACTATATTACACTAAAATTAATGCTATAAATGCTCTGCTTCTTAGTTAATTTAATGCTTTTTTCATTCCTCCTAATAATTTCAATGTTTACAAATTTCAACATTTAGAACTATCTATTTAGTACAAGTACGAAAATTTTGTGGGGCTGTTCATAAAAGACGTCAATAATAAAAACGAGCTTTTTAGACCCCTTTTAAGGAGACAAATTTACTTCCTTAGAATAATCACATAATCTTTGAATATACCCCCCCCCCCCCCCCCCCTTCCCCAAATGTTTGACATCATAAGCGAACCTCGTCTGTATTATGTTGAGGCAAGTGTATTTTAGTAGTATGATAATCAAAATAATTCGGTTTTCTCAGGTTTTCAACACTTTTGGACGGAGATTTTGCAGCGGCTTTACATCATGTGAAGATGAAAAGGCAAGAGATAATAAATTCATAGAGATGTATATGAAGTACTTAGGTAAATTCATCAATTTTCTAATTTGATATAATTCAATTTCAAAGCTTTTATTTTTTAAAGATTTAAATGCAGAACAGGCAAAAAAGTTCTTGTCAGGATACACAAGTCTATGGGGACAAAATGCTGATTATACTGAAATTGAAAAGACATTAAAATATTTGAGAACAAACAAATTTTCAAATTACGATGTCATAGAACATCCAACATGCCTCTTTATCAATCCAGCGACTTATGAGAATCGAGATATGGTCTTCAAAGAATGCTTATTTCAAAACGTAAAATTGAGTTTTTACATCAGATATGTCTCAATAATGAACAAAAATCTAGCAGTGCTGAAAGCATATCAATATGTTCATCCTTCGTCAGATGTTGTTAATAATCTTAGGAAACAACTAGATATACCAGTAAAATTAGAAAAAGAACTGGCAGATACACTTTCACTAAATGAAATTAGAAGAGAAATTATGAACAAGTATTTAAAAGAGAGACTGCACATGACAGATGACGAAATAGTAAGAGCTCGTAAAATTTATACACATATGAAGCATCGGAATTTGAGAGGCATGGTTGAAACTGTAAATATTCTTATCGATGAATTAAACTTCTCGAAAGAGAGAATCACAAAGAATTCATACTTGCTTCATGCCCGTGCTGAGAACATTAAAGCAATTTTGATAGAAATACCAAAAATAGCTGAAATGGACATTAAGGAAGTTGTGCATGCAAGACCAAAAATTTTAATGCAAAATTGTGAGACATTAAAATCAATAATTCAACACGTAAGGAATTTCAATATTCCAGACGAAGCGATTATCAAGTGCCATGAAATCTTAACATTAAGTTCTGATACTGTTTATAGTCGTCTGTGTGAACTTCATAAAGTAAAGGAATTTAGTGTTATGTTTAACAATCCTCGCATTTTAAGATTGATTCACTATCAGACGAAAGCAAAAACCCGTTTGGAATATCTGAAGCAGCTCAAAATGCGATGCTTTTCTTTGAACTTACTTTCTGGACCGACTGAGACGTTTGAAAAGTATGCATACATTGGTGGCGATAAGACAAAAGGAAAGGAAATTATAGAATTTTTTAGCAATACGTTTAAGATAGAACAGAAAATTGTCAGGGAAATGCTGCATTTACATCCACATTGGGTTCAAGTACCTGTTTTGTCAATTAATAATACAATGTATTTTTTCCGCTACAAAGGATTTTCCAAAGAGGATATGCTTCAAAACTTCCTGCTTCTTCTGTATCCAATTTCAAAAATCCAGCCAAAATTAGATGCTTTATTTGAATGGAAATCCGAGTCAGATGACAATAGAAAAATTAGTGATGTAGAAGTAAAAACATTATCAAATTCGAAGCTTTTAAGTCTCTGTTTGTATTTCATCGAGTCAGAATATCATTTTACAGGAAACGCTATATTTGAAATTAATAAGTTTGATAACAAAAATGATCCATCAATGATTCCTGATCTTCCAAAGTCATTAATAGAAAAGAAATATAGATTTGGTACAAAAGAATCGCAAAAAGTTGCTCACGTTAATGTTGAATAAAAAAATTATCAAAGAATTCGAAACTCTGGCTTTTATAAAACCTTGCAGTTTATGCGAAAATTACGCATTATTATTAAGAAATCAAAAATCTCCTTCTTCAAAAATTCAACCACCAAAAAAACAAATTTCAGAATTGAAACACGAAAAATTCGAATTTCAGCGAGTCACAAAAATTGAGACTCAATCATTTTGAATTCCAAAATTATCCAATCCAATTCACAACTTCTGTTTGTCGGCCTCTTTTCCATCGTAATAGAAAAGATCACAGGACTCACCTCGTGAAGGTCAACAGAACGAGTCCCTCCAAATAAAAGACTAAAATAAGTCGTTTTCTTTTCTGATCGCTCCTTCTTAAATCGATCAACTGTCGTTAAACAATGGCAAAAGCTGTTATCGGAACACTACACCGGGTTACATTAAATGACGTGATGCATCTTTCATTAAGGGTGTTGCAGACCTTGCCAGAAGCGCTACCATTTAGTCTACTCAACAGGAAGTCAACGAATTTCATTGCCACTGGCACTCAAGGGTCAGACACTCCAAAAGTATTGTAATGTATTGTACAATACTTTACAATACATATGAAAGTATTGTAAGTATTGTATAATACCTTGTTATACAAGTATTGTAGGATTGTACAATACTTACGTAATAAGTATTGTAATTTTTACAAGACAGTTTGAAAAACATTTGTCATATGAATTTGATTATAATTTACGGTTTTTGTGTAGTTTCTCGAGTTTCTTTACATTTTTTGAACCAAAATTTGATAAAAATACATAATTAGCAATTTTGAACTAGATATTTTACTACGTTTTTCTTATTTAAGTTTTAATTGAAATTTTATAGTTCTCCAAAAATATTCAGTCTAAAACATATACAAATATTTGACAAATATTGTAAAAATATTTGTATACAAAATTTTAGGTAATAAAGTCATTTATCAAAATTGTCAATAGCAAAAAAGTATTCTGGCTCGAAACAAAGGCGATATAACGCCAGATGCAGCCAAAAATTTCAAACATTATTAACGAAAACATAGATAAGATGAGAATATTAGACATTAGTCTCCTCATATTAGAGGAACTTTAACGTTTGCTTCAATTTTATAGAGGTAACACCGAGGTTTAGTTTTTTTATAGCGCTTTAAGTCATATCATAACATTGCTATGCCTCGATTTAAGTTTGTTTCTTTAAAGTTTACTTTGTTTTTAGTAAGGACATTTTTCATCAGAAATTTTCAGTGAATTTTCCTAAAATGATATATCTTTTTGTATTAAGTAGGCATTCACGATTTCCCGGACCCAAAAAATTGTCGGGAACTGGACAAAAATTTAAACTTTAATTAATATCAAACATGCTCCTGAAAATTTGGAAGATTTTTTTGTGTTTAAATGATGAAACTTTTCAATTGAGATTCATAATTTGTAATTAAAATTTTTTGGATAACTATTTTTATTCATCGAGTTTCTGTCCCAAAAATTTCGGGAACAGGAAATCGTGAAAGTCTAGTATCAACTAAAAGAAATAAAAAAATAAGAATAATTGTGACAAAGAAAGAAGAAAAAATACAGTTTTATATTGTCTTAGAGATGCAGTTGTTGACAATATGTATTTTCAAATAAAAAATGCTACAAAAACCATTTGATAAGTTTGTTTCAAATCAAAGTAAAAAAAAAAGTTTGAAAAAAAGTAAGTTTTCAAATCGCAATTTTTAACGAGAATTATCAAATATAAAAGAATCATGTGAAGATGTGGCTTTAATACTATACATTTCGTACCTTTGAGTTGTAGGTGCTATTAAAGGCTCTACTGAGTTTAATAATTCCATAAAAAAAATTTACTGACACGAAATCTTGAAATAAATTCAAGATCGTCCAAAGTTTCCATGAAATCTACACGTTCGCGAAATCTTCTTTCTTTTGGAGTTCTAATATCATTAATCATGTCAATGTCACTATCTATATCTTCTATATTCATATTAAACTAATTAACAAGAAAAAACGACGTTAAATCAAAAATCAACTAAAATAGTTTATTTTTTTTTTCAATAATCCTAGGATTATCCTGAGATTATTCTAAAAATTCCGAGATTATCCGATTTCAATCTTGGGGGGACCAGGATTGACATTTTCAATAATCCGATTCGAAGATAATCCAGGATTATCCTCAATCTTTTTTAAGTGAAAACCATCATCCGAAGATTATCCCAGGATAATCCCAAAAATTGGGGTGGATGATCCGAAAACGAAGATTATCCACTTTAGTGAAAACGGCCCTTATACTTTGATCAAAAAATTTGTATAAAACGTAATAAAGTTTGCTATAAAAAGTGAAAAATCTTGTGAAAATGAAACCAATCTATTTAATTTTGATTCCTTGTTGACATTAGTTTACATAATAAACTTCGTACCTGTACGATTTTATGCATGAGAATTATATGAAATCAATTCTTGATTTGCACCAGTCTGGCTTTACAAAAGAATTTTGAACTTTTTATCATTTTTATAGCCATTATATAATTATATAATTAAAAATTTTCAATTTTAGTGAATATTGTGAATGGATTGGACTGGGTCCACTTCTTCAGTAAAATAATAAGAAAAGTAAAAGCTGTAAAAGAAATAGATTAATAAATGGTTTGTCAGGGACGGACAGATTGGCAGAAATGAATTTTTTGATGAAGAGTCCCACCCTTATCCCCCTCTAAAGACTTTTCCAATATGTTATAATACCTGTTTATAGAGGATTAATGCCTCGTTCGCAAAAAAAAGCTTAAAAAACGAACATTCAATTTAAGTCGTCCATCTTTTTAAACAAATAAACCCTTACCCTACCTCAAGAACCCCCCAACCCCGCTACTTTAATTCCTTCCCTTGGCGTCACCGGGGCGCCACTCCCAGATAGATTTGTTCAGGCCCTTCTCGCCAAACCACCCGCTACCCCCCTTAATACTCAATAAAAATAAAACTTTTCACTCAACTTTTAAAGGAAACCCTTCCGCTTCATAGTCCTCAGGAACTCCACAGCAGAACATTCGTTTGATCGTCCTCCATAACCGCTTCTTCTTCGGCTTCTCGTTGACTTCGACTTGCACATCCTCTGATTCCTTAAATCACTACATTCATCTGATAAATGTAGACTTACCAAGTAATGTGATTGTGATGACACAAATCTCTTGATTTCCGATGCCAGTGACTGATGGTGGAACATGAAAATGCTGACTTCTCTCTGTAAGAAGATGTTATTGTGTTTTTCAAGGTACAATATAAAAAACTCCTCTAGTTCCAATAACATCTCCAAACAAGCATCTTCAAACCATTCGACCAGAAGCCATAAACTGAAAGTAAAAATAACATTGTTTAAGAAATTTCTCAAATTTAAAACTATTATCATTTAATTGCTCACTCTTAAAAGATTCCTTTTCTCGCTAATAACCCGTTCGATCAGCAACCGGTTGCTGAAAAATATAGATGAGAAAAAAAATTTAAAATTTTTTCACAATTTAAAATTAATCATCGCAGCATGCAATGATTTTTTTTTCGATCCGAAAAAATTTAAATTCACCAACAAAAAGGCAAGGGGTGAGGGCTCCTTATTGCATTTCATACTCATTGCATTTCATTGCAATTTTGCTAAACTTTACTGCAATTCATTGCAATTACAGTACTTTGGTGTACTATAGCAAATTTTATTGCACTTCATTGCACTTTTCTCTACTTCATTCTACTTCATTGCACTTTGTTGCAATTTATTGCACTTTGCTCAACTTTGCTGCACTAAATTGCAATTTACTCTACTTCATTCTACTTTGTTGCACTTTACTCGACTTTATTCTACTTTATTGCACTTTGCAGTGCATTTTTGCACAAATTATTCAGTTAATAATATTAATATTAATATTTCTAATCTATTTATATTAATTTTTCAAAAGAAAAGAGCAATTAAACATGGCTGGTTTTTATAAATTTGACTTTAAAAATATTGCAAAACTTCAAAAATCCAAAATTTAAATTTGTGAAGCATTAAAAATGCTAAAACTGTTAAAAACCTACTTTAATTCAATTATTAACGAATATCTTAAAACGTAAGGAAAAATGTCGAAATTAATGCAATATTAGAAGACTTTCACATTTTTGATATGTTTTTTGAGTAAAAAATGCATTTTCCATAAATAAACACAAAAACGTGCAATTTGTTTAAAATTTGGACCGTATTCACGTGTGAATATATTGTATTTGATCAAATTTCAAAACCAGTGTGCCTTCAATTTTACATCGTAATCAAAAATCAGAATTGAAATTGATTAGGGGCAATTCTACGAAAAGGTTTCATGAAAATAATCATTGTCAATTGCATGAAATTTTTTAATTATTTTATTTTCACTTGTGCATAGTTTTTCAAAAATCTAATTCTCATTTCCTTTTCTATTGGTTAAACTGTGAATTATGATTACATCTGCACTCAAATTCCTTAGCTATGGCTTGAGAAATTCATGGTTTTAATCAGGGGGGGGACAAAGCAAAAATTTATAAAAAAAAACTCTGAAAAATGTTTACTCTGATCGATTTTCAAGTACTCCACTTGAAAATGAAAAAATGAAATTTTCACAGGCAACTTAAGAAAGTGAGCTTTGACATTTGTTAAAAAATCAAAAATTTCCAAGCTCACTTTCTTAAGTTGCATATAAAAATTTTATTTTTTTCATTTTCATGTGGAGTACTTGAAAATCGATCAGAGTAAACATTTTTCGGAGTTTTTTTTCATAAATTTTTGCTTTGTCCCCCCCCTGGTTTTAATTTTAATATTTGGTAGTTTTTTTTTGGAATTGTCTTCAAATTACTCTATTTCACTTATGAAATTTTTCTTAAAATCCAAATTACAGCTTAATTAAGGCTTCCACAAATATGATTTTGACATCGTTTTGAAGCTTTTACTTTAAGCTATAACTTTGTATACTTAGTATTACTGGAAATTTTACCACCTTAAAGATATTAATGAAAACATTTTGGAAATTTTGGGCGAAAAACTTCTTGTGAAACAGAGTAATTTTTCGTATAATGTAAATAATTCTTTAATTAACCATTCTTAATATGTTTGGGTGAGAACAATATGTAGATCTCGGTAAAATCTACTATTAAATACATGAAACATGGAGAGTAATGCAACTGATAAAGAGAAATATAGATTTGGAGACAAGTTTGTTGAAAAAATCATTCGTAGAATCGCCCTTAAGGCATTGTTGAGAAAATCGCAAAATTCATTTTCTGTAAGCAAGCAAACAATCGAATTTTGCAATCGATTCGTGTTGCACTATAAAAGAACTGATTAGTTTTTGGGAATGGCAGGAACAGCCATTGCTTCAGAAAAAGCATAAAACCTTCCTTTCATACTATTTTTAAAAACCAAAGGTTAATGTGATTTTTATAAAATTGAACTTTGGATGAAATTTTTTTAAAGAATGTTTGGCATACTCGTTAAGCTTTAAACCTTCAAACTTATGCTGGGCAAATCTTGGTCTATCCATAAGACTTTTGATGGTATGGTGTGAATATAATCCGCATTGGGTTTCTACCCGATACACTAGTTTCAATGCAATTTCGATTCTAGAATTTTAATCAGAATTTTAATTCACTAGAGAAAATATATGAAAGATTTTTTTTTTCTATTTGCGTAAAGAATTGATCTACATAAAGATTGTGTCTGCGTTACATAAATTCTAAGAAAGAATCTACATTCTTCCTCAAGTGTAGACATCTACATTTGCAACTCTAGTTCTGAGGAACTAAGCAGTTCCGGAGGTTTTAATGCAGACAGAACGCATCGTATGACTACTTAGAACCGAAAAATTTTATTGCGAAATAAAAGAAGTGCTTAGTTCCTTAAATTTGGACCTATCTCAAAAATCGTTTAAAAAGTCAAGAAATGTTGTAAAAAATTTTTGTCAGTTCCATTCAGTTGGAAGTGCCAACTTAACATGATGCTTCTTTCATGAAAACTGTACAAACCATATGCAAGCCGAGTCCTTTTTGATTTCGAACCATCGAAATCCTTTGCTTACCTCAATCTCCACGTTGGTGCTTGTATTATCCTCAAGCTGATGATATTCATCATTCAAAATTTGCATAAATCGCTGCACGGTCTTGAGCAAATTTGACGTCGACATATTAAATTAATCCTCACTCTTTGAATGTTTACACAATACTGAAAAAATTTCAGAATTGGTCAAATTTCAATGGTTGCTGGGATAATTATTTTCATTTGTAAATTGAATTTTCATCATTTTATACGAAAAAAAAATCGTATTTTGTGACATCCAATCTAATAGGAAAACGTTAAATCTGATGCAGGAACATATTCAGTGTTACGTAACAAGTGATCGGTCCCGTTTAGTTTAAAACAAAGATAAGCAAAATGTTTGTCAAATAATAAATTCATTCAAATTTAAGTTATTATTAAGCAACAATAATGGACAGTGAAAATATGGAAAAAGGAACAAAAAATCTACAGACAGAACAGGCATTTTTCAAGCACAAATAAGATGAAAATGATTTAAAAGGTGAGAAAAAAGGCTGTTCTGAAATTTTCTTTGTTTCAACTTTTAAGGATCAAGCATGTTTGAGCTTTAAAATTGCGTCCGATTTTGATGAACTGATAACTGATATTTTAAAATTTCCATATCTGCATCCAATAAAATACTTCCTTTCGTTGATCTATGCAAAAGACTTGTTCATATTTTTGGAACTAAAACTCTTTTTAAATCTGCTGCAATCAATTAAAAGAGGCTTGGAAGTTCATCAACTTTCTATTGAAGTCCTTTTTTACAAATATATTCTTAAGAATTCTTATAGAGAAGTTATTTTTGATCCTCATTTTATTACAAGGAGGATTAGTCAACTAAATACCAAACTAGAACCCTATAAATTCTTTAAGTGTCAAAGAACCATACAAATGTTTGAAAATTACAATCCTACAAAGAAAATTGAAGTAAGTATTAATAGGTATTAATTAAGACCAAAACAAACTATTATTATAGGATTAAGAAGTAAGATCTTCTGTAAGTGCAGATATTAATAAGTAATGAATAGGCTATATCATAAGAAGAATTAATTAAGAAATTTCTCAGAATCAGCAAATATCAATTTTGGTGAGCAACTTATTTACTATAAGGAACTTAATGTAACAAATGTCATTCATATTATCTTAATGGTTTCACAGTATGCACCAAAGGTTTCTTAAAAATTGAAGTTATAATGCTAAAAGTTCAACGAAAAACAAATTAAGCTAGTCTGTTAATACAATTAAGCAAGTATTATACGAGTTATATATGATCGCAATGAGTGTTAAAATAAAAAGAGAGCTCAATGAATGTTTATCGTCAGTTTGATTTCATTGAAGTTCACGATTAGTCGCAAAAAAACGAATTTATTTATTTATAATAATATTTAATTTTATTTTGCTTGTTAAATCAATATAAACGTGATCATGAGGATAATTGTTGTGATATTTGTGTCGTTAATATTATACAGTTGCTGTTATGGTTTCTCCGCGATCAAAAGAAATAAACCAATTAGAGATGAAAGACTTATGCATTCATTAAAATCATCCAGCTTAAAAGTGAAACGTGATCTTAAGGAACAAACTCAGAAACAAGAAACACTTGCGTCATTTTGGAGAAATGAAGCACTGAAGAAATTAAAAACACAACTTAATAAGAAAATTAATACAAATATTGCTAAAAATGTAATTATATTTTTGGGAGATGGAATGTCACTAAGTACAATTACTGCTAGTAGAATTTATGCAGGCCAAAGACTGAAGAAATCTGGTGAAGAATATTCATTATCGTTTGAAAACTTCCCGTATACAGCACTTTCAAAAACTTATTGTGTAGATAAGCAGACAGCAGATAGTGCATGTAGCGCCACAGCCTACTTAACAGGTGTTAAAACTAATTATGGAACTATAGGCGTAACTGCAAAAGTGAATAAAAATGACTGTCAAGCTTCTTTAGATAAAGAAAATCGTTTAACATCTATAATGCAATGGGCACAAAAGGCTGGCAAATCAACAGGAATTGTGACTACAACGAGAGTCACTCATGCATCACCAGCTGGAACTTATGCAAAAACCGCAAATCGCGATTGGGAAAGTGACTTTGATATGAATAATTTCACAGACACCAAAGAATGTTCAGATATTGCAAAACAGCTAGTCACCGAATGTCCTGGAAATAAACTTAATGTTATTTTTGGTGGTGGACGAAGGAAATTTCTGTCAGAGAATATAATTGAGAATGATGCACGAGGTGAAAGACTTGATGGACGTGATTTAATAGACGAATGGCTACAACACCAAAAATCCCCAACTGCACATTATGTAAGCAACCGAACAGAATTGCTGGCATTGGATTATTCTAAAATTGATCATATCATGGGCTTATTTGCTGATTCACATCTAGAATATAATTTAAATAATGATAATGATGAACCAAGTTTAAAAGAAATGACATTAGCTGCCATTGAGATATTAAAGAAGAATGATAAAGGTTTTGTGCTGTTTGTAGAAGGAGGTAAAATTGATCTCGCGCATCATGATAACATGGCGCATCTAGCATTAGATGAAACAGCAGAATTCGATAAAGCAATTCAAAGTGCTGTGAAAATAACAGACGAAAAAGATACTTTAATAGTCGTTACTGCTGATCATTCGCATACAATGACATTGTCTGGTTATTCACATCGAGGTAGAGACATTTTAGGATTCAATACGGAAATTTCCGACATGGATTCAATGCCGTACTTAACATTGTCGTATGCAAATGGACCTTCCGCTGAAAAGAAACGACAAGTGAACGAGGAAGACATGAGTATGAAAATTAATATTTTCTTCCTACCGTTTCTCATTATCAACTCCTTCTTTCCTTACAGAAAATGTCGGTTATCAGTATCCATCGCTTATTCCAATGCTTTATGAAACACATGGAGGTGATGATGTTCCTATATATGCTCGAGGGCCATACTCTCATTTATTCGAGGGCGTACTTGAACAGAATACGATTCCGCATTTTATTGCGTACGCCTCATGCATTAGTAATGGAGCAACAGCATGTGATTAAAAAACAATAGGAAGTATGCAATCGATGAAATTAAAATTTACACATTTTCTCATGCACACTGTCCGATTTGTTGCTTGCTTTTTGGTTTAAACAAATAAAGATTCAAATTTTGATTACAATTCCGATGTCTGGATTTACGTTTTTAATGCAGTAGGTGATCAGAAATAAGACATGAAGTAATGAGACATTGAATAATCAAAATCAGATAGTTTATTGGAGTATTAAATACATTGTCTACTAAGTAGTTTCTTTGAATTTAAACCAGTTCAAAAAAAATGTAAAAAAATAAGATCAAAACATTTCTTTCGATGCTCGGCATTAATTGGCGTTGACAACAAAATAAGTAAAATTATGGATATCAATTGAGTCGTTCGTAATTTACGTTACTATCCTTTTCTTTCCTCTGGCTTATGTTTTAATGAGTAATATTATAATAATGTCCAACCTTTGTGCGAGAGAAGGGTTTGTAGCTATGTGAACCTTCGTGCATTTGTGATGGAGAATAAGGAGACCTAGAATCAATTTTTTTTAAATGATCTCGTAAAGTCAAAAATTACAACTTTCAGGACTACGTAATATCCGAACGACTCCAAAATGAATTGTCATTGACAGTTTGAAAGAAATCGTTAATAGCTTGGAGTTTTCAACTCCTTGAACTTGATTTTTATGTTAATGAAGCAACAGTCACGCCAAGCACATTAGCTATAATGTATTATATGAATTGTATATCTTTTCATGTCTCGATCGAAAAAATTTCTCCTCACATCCTACTATTGTTTAATATTTTTCCAAAAAAGAATTCATTTCCATTTATGCGATAATTTTCACCATGTTCATGTCTAAATATATTGTAGAAAAATTTTTATGTTGAATTGATGATCTCTCTTCATTCCTTAAATTCATTGATATGAATGCACGTTTCATGTGACATAGTTTTTAGCAGGAACATCTTCCACTGTCGGAAGCCGTGCCTAATGTAAATGGTCCTAATCCATTCGATGTGCTCCTTTTCATATTACCGCTCTTTGATTGTTCTTCTTCGTCAAAATTTTCTCCCTAGAATAACGGAAATTCGTGATATAAAATGAATGAAAAATTCAAAAACCATACAAATTATTTAACTTTTAAATCATTTGTAGGGTTTTTCTAAATACAAAACCATAAAATCCGTTAAAAAATTAGAACTTACTCTATGCTCACGCTGCTCTCGGATCTTTCGTGCAAGTGTAAGGAAGCATTCCTCGATATTAATATTCTGTTTGCAGCTAACTTCAAAGAATGGCATATCAAAATTCTCAGCTATCTATAAATGAAATGATACATAGAATAAAACAAACGGAAAATTAAGTCAATCAGATTAAGTTGCGTGTGACGCCGCAAAGTCTTAATGAAATTATTTAGAAAGTAATCACGTTAGAAAAATCAATTTTTGATTAATTCAGAATGCAATTTTATACATGGCTAGTGACTGGATATTTACCTTATCTCCTCGTTCTTTGTCAACAGCTCGTTGAGCAGCAGTGCACTCACACTTGTTTCCAGCCAAAACTTTCACGACATCCGGTGCAGCATTCTTTAAATAAAATATAATTACTGCAAATGACAAATTCCTAATTACATTCATAATTACTTCCTGTATGTTTCTAAGCCAATATGAAAGATTATTAAACGAGTCCAAGCTAGTTATATCATACATTAATAAAATCCCCATTGCTCCCCTATAATAAGCAGTCGTTAATGTCCTAAATCGTTCCTGTCCCGCAGTCTAAAATTAAATTATAAATTAATTAAAACTTTGATTGGCATTTGATGATAGGCAAGTCACTTACATCCCATATTTGCAGTTTTATCGGTACACCATCCAGATTTATCAATTTTTGTTTAAAATCAATTCCTAGAAAATAACGAAAAAGGAAATTAAATTCAATTAAAATGTCAATTTGCAAACATGGTTTGTTTAAGTTCTTCTCTGAAATGAAATTTGACCTTGGATGGACTAAAATACAGATGGATAGAGCTCAACAAATTAATGAACATTTGGAGAACAATACAATTCCAGTTTGATAATTGAAAACATTTGTAAGGTTCTGAAATAATTAAGATTTTCAAAGAGTTTTATAAAACTATTCAACAGTTTTGTATAATTGATTTGGAAACATTTGTATAGTTTTTAAACACTTGAACATTTCAGGGTTTTAAGAGTCATAAATTTCAAGTAGTTTTGAAACAAAATTTGAAAGTTACAAAATATGTTTATAAAAAAAAAATAGTTCTCCTATAATATGTTATCAAACGACCAATTACAAGCAATACATCCAATCCCTAATGCCAATAAAATTGAGAGTTTAAAATGAAAAATGAAAATTTACCTATCGTACTAATGTAAGTATCATAATATCTCTCATCACAATATCTATGAACGATACATGTTTTTCCAACATTCGAGTCGCCTAGTACAAGAACTTTATATGTGGCACTGAAGTCCATGTTTTATACAAAAACAAAAACACTAGTTTTATGTATGAATGGAAGTTTAATCTCCTTTTTGTCTTTCTCCGTTCTTATATTAATATATTACTGTTACTATTCCCTTTAATTTCGTTTATAGCAGTTTATAGCAATAAACTATAGAGATCCATAGTGACACTTTAATTTCAACTTTATAGCTTTTTTTTAAACCAATAAACATGAAGACATATCAGACATGAAATATCTTGTAAATATATAATTTTTTATGGATGTTCTGAACTTTTATGGGTTTCTGTCTGCTGTACGTGAAATGCAGAATGAGCGATGCACAATAAATTGCAATATTTCCATTCATTAAGTTTTCACTTTTATTTCGTTTATTTTTAACTCATTCTTTAATAGTCTAAAATGGAATTTCTTATGCTTCACTTTAGCTGCACTAATTTCAAGGCTTTGAATTTTAAATATTTTTTTACAATAAGCTCACTTAAGCAATTTTTTTAAATACTTTATTATTTAATGGAACTACCAAACACCCTTCGAATTTGATGATAAGCAGACAACAGACACCAGCTGAATAGAATGAAAACAAAAATAATTCACCAGCATCAAATAATTTGTATTTATCAAAATCAATAGTCAGCGATGAATAAGAGACATATGAAAATAATGTGCGCATGTTCAGGATCATATGAGAATTGTTACTTGAGGATTCGGAGGGGAAGTTCATTTCTTTTCAGTTTTGTGATTTCCTTTTTGTATGAGTAACATGTACTTGTTCCTTAATAACAGTGAAGTTTGAATTTTTGTCAGAATTTTCTGTCACGTGAATGTCAATTCCTTTACTCTCTAGACTATTAGATATTTTATCTATTTTTTGTACTGAAAATTTCTCTTGATTTACGCTTGATAAGAGTGAATTCTGACTATAATCTTCAACACGTCCTTGATTTCCTTTACCACAATATTGTTTTAAAGAGTTTGTTCCTAACCTCTTAATCTCAATTTCTTTCTTTTCTTTTGAACCGTTTAAAAGGAACAGCTTCGACTTGGACGAAACCGGACTTTTACAAAATTCATTTAAATTCATTTTGTCACTAATCTTTGTTATAACATAAATCTTGTCAAAATTGGCGCTCGTAACACGAATTAAAATTTCATTATCTTTGTCAATGTCAACGTCGTGATATCCACTAAAGTCACGAAGTGCAATAACAGGCAATTGTGAGAAGTTCCTTGAAGAATTTTCCTCTTGTTTAGCTACAAACGTCCCAAAATCCGAAATGTTTGCACTGTTGTTGAAGGACGATTGCTTAGCGATAAAATTTTGTGGACCCTCTAGAACTGATGAATTCATAGACAGTTTCAGGATACTTGAATCATTTTTAGACAGCAAAGAAATTGAACAGTTTTCATAAATATCTGGATAGCTATAGTTTTGAACTTGGAATTGCTCTTGTAGTTGACTATTCATTGTGCTGCTTTCTTGGCTTTTTGTAGACATGCCAACAACATTAGAAACATCATTGGAAGTACTTGTTGAGTTTGGAAAATTTAAATTAGAATTTAATTCTATTGACTGTTTATCTTCATGATCTACTGAAGAATCTACTATCAAAAAGCCAGGAATTTCTAATACTTGATTGAGGAATGAATCTTTAATTCCACTATGATTTGTATCCTCATTTATATCTTTAGGTGACGTTACTTCAGTCGATTTCTTTGGATTTGACACATAAGATGTCATATTTTGTTCATCCAGTCTATCTATAAAGCCTGAATCAAAGGTGTATTGACGTAATGCTAGGCTTGCTTCATTTTGTCGCATTTCATTTGAACTCATTTCCTGATCAACAATTATAGTTTGTTTAAGAGTCGTTTTGGTATTTGTAACAGCTTTATTCTCAGTACTTGTTGTGGTAATTCTTGGGACTCTTGTAGTTTTTAATGTCGTTTTCTCAACATGATAAGTGGTTCTTTTATTGTCATTATTATCACGGCTAATAAACAATGAACGAGGAACATTACGAAGGTCCTCAGAGTTTTGACATGCTTTCTTATCATCGACAATTGTTAATTTTTTAAGTACAAAATTCTCATTCGTTTTGTTAAAGTTTGTAAAAATTGAAGGCTTTAAATTGTCATTCCTACAACGTCGTTCAAATTCTTCTGTCGTAATATACTTTTCCGTCGATACCTTGAAGTTGGTGACATTATAATTTGTTCTTGACTTTTTATTATTGTCAATTATTAATTTTTTTTGTGGCTTAAAGGAACTGTTATCTGTAAAACATTGATTAAGCTAAATAAGTTTCTGGACTGAAAACAATAAATCTCGTACGACTATGAACTTACATGGATCCTTTTGACGATTTTCTAGCAAGACCTTTTTATTAATCAAGCATTGAAAATCACGATACTGTCTACATTTTTCATATTCTTTGTCTGTAGAATAGGTCACACGTTCCTGTTTACTTATATTATAAGTTTTCATTTCTTTTATGCATCTTTTTACATCAAGAGGCTTTTTTAGTGGCTCATTCATAAGCTTTAACAACTTTTCAGCCTTAATCATGTCAAATTTTGATTTCTTCTTCTGCTTTTCAAAAATGCTTTTTATTCTTCTAACATTCGGTCTTGCTAGATCATTCAATCGATGACTCATACATTCATTTTTCTTTCTTTTCATTCCTAATTCTGTGTTGTTGTAGATTTTGATTGTCGATTTAGATCTTGACAATTTATTGGATTTCAACGTCGAGTTATGAGTAAAATTAGCTATGCAGTTGTTCATTCTATTGCTCTACATTAAAATTTTGAAAAGGTAAATTATTTTAATTCGAAATAAAATATTATTTTTGTAATTTCTTTGCTTTCTTAATTTTGATGACATATCAATTAATATTTTTATTTTTCCATTGATTATCAACAACAAAAAAAAAAAAAACGGGGAAAATGGAAAAACTTTATAAGGAAAATTAATTAATTAATAAAAGAATCTGTTTAAAAAGATTCCATGAAATAGTTTCTAGCTGTTTTTTGTGTGTCTTACATCATAAACTAAAACTCAGCATCACCGTTCGACTTTTGAAAAACATAATCCTTTCCTTCTATATTCATGATTCCGTCTTTTAAATAAAATTTCCATTTGTTGCGAGATCGATTAATCTAGATTAGGAAAGAAAATAAATTGATAAATTTATTGTTGATTTTTAATAGCTAATTAAGCCTTAATTACCTTATCGTACTGACACACAACAACATTGTCTGTTTCGAACAAGTCCGCAGCATCTTCATCTGTTACATCGTCTTCTGAATTCAGTGGCTCCTCTTCAGCACCTAATTCCACTTCGTTTAAATCTGATCCATCTTCGTCTACATCGTCTTCATCGTCATCATAGCTGTTTATTATTAAATTAAAAAATTAATCAAGATGTAATGAAAGAATTGCTTTTGTTTAACATACTGATCATCACTTATATCGCTTCCATCCTCATCTGATGTGTCGCCTGCCGTTCCATCAACTTGTCGACTGACTTTGATTTGATCTAAGAACAAGAATTTATTATATTTTCATAGAGACGAGGAATGTGAAAATAATGTGATGCTTACTTTCACCATACATAGAATTTAAAACAGAAGTGACATGCTGTTGGAGAACAGCTGATGCAACACTGGGTTGCAGAGGCATAATAGAAGTAATTATTTCACTCGTGATGAGTTGCGGAAGCAGCTGCTTCTCTTGTATAGCAAGTGCGGGTACTTTTATCGTTAGGACACGATTCTCTACTTCATTTGGTTGAGGTGGAAGTGTTATTTGTATTGGTATCAATTTTTTTGGATCTAACGCCGTCTGTTGCATAGCTGATGGACCATTCTGTGAATTCGCTGTTGATGGCTGTGATGTTGTAGGCTGTTCTGGTTCATTTTTCACCGCCGGTATTTGTTGTTGATTCTTTGCATGTTGTGTCATTTTTGGTACGGTGGATGCAAGTGGAGGAACGTTACTTTTCGAACTTCCATTTACTGATGTCGATGAGTTCTTCTGTTCTACAGCCAATGCCTTTTTTGACTTTGTTCCATTAGACTATAAAGAGTGTTTTATTTAAAAAGTATTACTGGATCTGTTTTTACAAGATTTAAGTATTTATTTGATAAAGTATGTTTTTTATCACTAAATGAATACCTTTGATTGTCAAGAAGCCTTGAATGTGCATTTAAATCAAAGTTTGAGAAAGAATGTAAATGTTATTTTAAGTTAATGGAAATAATGGATATGATTGTGCTGGTTATAATGTATTCAACAGTTGTTTCAGTAAGTGAATACTAAACATTAGCAATTTCGAATGATTGTGAAATGACAATTATTTACCTTTGGATTATTTGCGAGTGGAGGAGGTTGACCTGATGTTGGAGCTTGAGGTTCTGGAGTGACTTCCACTGCTTTACTTGCCATCAAGCGATTTGTCCATATTTGTTTCATTTCCTGTAATACTTGTTCGTCAACTCCCTCGTCCAAAAATGCATCACGAACATTGGCAACTACATCCTCTATGACAAGTTGATACAATTTGAGCTAAAGCGGAATACAAGTATGATAATTACAAATGTATCATTAAAAACATCCAGTTCAATAATAAATAATTTATGGAAAGCAATTTCTACCAATTATCTAGCCATATTATATCTGTACATGTACAAACAAGGAGTTCGCAAGTACAGTAAATAGCCATAAACATGAATAACTGATAAAATCTGTCAACGAAATTTTGAACATTTTTTTTAATGTGAGAATGTTGAAAAATCCTTTATTTTGCTACAATTCTGCTACTTTTACATTATATTCTTGTGCACTTACCACCGATGATGCTGCAGACGTTTGAGCCATTGATTAGAAATTGTGTTAAATAGCCAAAAACAAAAATATTTTTAAAAATTATAAATTCTAATGTAATTTTCCTTAATATGTAAACTTGTGAAAATTTGCTGTTCTCAACGTCTGCCTTGCTCACAGGGCTTTCGAACCGTACATCCAAATATGTTTAAAATTTATAATTTTACTGCCTAATCATACTTATATTTGATTCAATTTGCTTAAACTATGCTTTAATAATGTTATATATAATGATTGGTATTCATAATCAGGTAGAGTTTAAACAAGTTTGACAGCACTGGATCTAGAAAAAAACATTCATAAGGTTTTGATGTGTACAAATTAAAAACATGCTGAGGAAAATTTGCAAAGTTAATTTAATTCAAAATAATCTGATAAATTCACAATGTAAGTACTTGACAATACTTTAGTTATAATATTAAGCATGTCCTCTTATTAAATAACATTTTATATCATCAATTAATGCTTAATTAATGTGAAATTTGCAGATGTTATTTTTCGACATTTATCAGCAAAAGCGGAGCTGAATGAAGCAGCTGAAAGTCAAGAGAAGAAGAAGACAAAGAAGCCTAAGAAAGCTTTAACTGATATGCGGTTTAAATATCCCGAATTTTTGCCACAGCCTGATAATCGTTTGAGAAATCCAGTTCTTGAAAGAATTATGCGAAAGGATATGCTTGATCGTCGAACTCAAATTAATATTCCAGAGTTCTATGTTGGATCAATTTTAAAACTGACCATTTCAGATCCACATTCTCAAGGAAAAACTAATAGTTTTGTCGGAATTTGCATTCAACGTGACAGAACTGGATTGTACAGTAAATTTGCTCTTAGAAATGTTATAGATCATCAAGGTATTGAAGTTATGTATGATTTATATGATCCAGCTATTCTGAAAATAGAAGTTCTTAAATTAGAAAAGCGATTAGACGACAAATTGATTTATCTTAAAGATGCATTACCAGAATATAGTACAATTGACGTCAATATGGAACCAGAAATTTTAGCTGAAGGAGGAAATATTCCAGTTAATGACACAGTCGTCAAAATGAAGCCCTTCCCATGGATGCAAAAATGGGAGCGTCAAGGATTAAAAGGTGTCGAAGATTTAGACAAGCATCTTAATTTATGGAGAAAGCAACAGAAAGTCAAGCATGATTCACCTTGGGACAAATACGATTTGATGAAGGAATATCGCAAAACAATAACTGAAGAGGAACAGAGTGAAATATTCTCAGAAATCTTTAATCGTATTAATAAAATTAATGAACAACATAAGCAGAAAGCAAAAGCAGCACGACGAACGATTAGTAAACCTCAGAATATTGGATAAAGCAAACTCTTTGTGTTATATATTTGTAGAAAGTAATAAAATAACTGAAATAATCAATATAATCAATGCTTGTTTATTTTGGTTCCGACTCCATACTTTGTAGGACATCTTATAGGTGATTTGAAAAACAAAATAAAATCGTATTTTGAATAGTTTTGAATTACTTTCTTTATTTTCAGCTGTCATTGATAAACATTTATCATTTTCTATACCATTATCATTAATATTTCTATGATTTAATTCTGATGAGATGTATAAGTAAGTAGTCTAGTATGAAATTAGAGGTAAAGAAAATTCTGTAGAAATCTATTTACAAATTCGCATATTCCAAATGATAATCAATTAAAGTTGTGCATTTGAATGTTTAATTACTTTTTTTTTACTTTTCAATGTAGTTTTATAATCAATTAAAATCTAATGAACCTTAACATCTTAATTTTTTTATGACTGTCTTAATACTAATATTAATGAAGAAATTTTTTAATTCAGAGCTAGTTTAGCTTGTAAGCAGTGCAATATTGATTTCCTTAACCATTTTGACTCGATGTAACATTTTGCTTAATGCATCACGGCTTAATGGCTGCGTAGAATACCACACAGGAGAATCTGGGACGCATGAACGTTCTGGTTGGAGATAGAAAACATCGTTGCGGGTTTTGACACTTTCAGGACTGCAAAAAAAATCGTGATAAAGTACGTAAAAAATGAATTAAGGCCCCCAAAATAATTATATGCTTACCATTTGGACAAGTAGAACTCGTACAGTTTGACGGGACAGCGTAAAGGATTCTCTTCATTCTCTTGTTGCTCGTAAACTTTCTTCTTACGTGAGTTGGCTTCTGAAACGAATGAAACGTTTTTAATAATTTTAAAGATTTAAATTAATTAATTATAGCTAACCTAATGACGACTGCGGTGGATAGAATCGAAGTAAAACGTTTCGAGACCCTGGCATTTTTGCAGCACCTGGTTGATTTGGATTTCTTTTCCAGTGCTTCATGATGTGTGAAAATGACAACTCCATGTGCTCATCAACGGTCTAATGGTGAATAAAATGATTAGTTAAAATAGCTGGCTCATCAATATTAAGAAAATAGAACTGCTGACTTACCACCAAATTGAAATGTTTTGTATTGAAGAACATTAATGTACTTAAGAGAACGTGAGGAGAATGAGCTCCAAGTTGTTTGCATTCCCATAAATGTTCCTCTTCAACTCTAGTGACGATGTACTCTAAAAACAAGTCATAGACATCATTAGACATAATCAATAAAAAGTCATTAAGCAATTGTGAACTTACGAGAATCGTTGTATAGAACAGAAAACTTCTTGGCAACTTCATCGAGACAGTCAGTAAATTGTTCGTAATATCTGTCCGTAAAAATGTTGTCAATCCTGCCATTTTCATATAGATACTGTTGGATGCCTTTAAAAATCATAAAGTAAGCGATTAATAAAGGGATAATTAAAATTAACTTTTGAGAGCATACCAAGTACCAAGTAGTAAATCGTATCAGGTGCGTATTCACTTCCATTTGGTTTTCTGACTTCCTTAACAAACATACATAACGAATAGTTTAGTTCATCAGCAGTAAGTTGGAGAATTTCAGATTTAATTGGTCTACGACGAATCGATGACTTTTCAAGATCCGCATTTTTAGTCGCAACCCATTGTTTCCATGCATTAACACCAAAAGTATATTTCAAACACATATTGGCATCAGGTTTTTCAGCTGGTTCACGGGGGATCTCGGGTTGCATTGATTCCATTTCACGTTTTATTCTCTTATTTGGCGTATTTCGTGTGTTGTTCTGTTTTACCGGTGGCATACGTTTACGTCCACGATTTGCTTGCATTGCTGCTTCCCGTTGATGATGTAATAAAAGTAATTGATGTTGATGTAAAGCTTGTGGGTCCATGTCATCATAGCCAGCATTCTGTGAAATTGTATTTGCTGTCATCTCATTTTCTAAATCAACAGGTGGATCGTCATAATCATTTCCAGACGCCATTTTAAATGCCATTTGAACAAGATCCTCATTGAAATTATTTTCGATTCCATCGCCATATTCTATTTCGTTTTCATCAGAGTCTGAATCTGTCTCTTCCCTCTTACGATCTCCAGCGACCATTTCAGCCATCATTAACAATTCAGCTTCGTATGGATCGGTTGGCATCTTGTCTTGAATCTTTTTGATTTCTTTCATAATACCTTGTGATGAATTCCTTGTTGTTGGAATAAAAATGGGGATGGGAATTGGAAGAGGAATCGGAACAGGTATTGGAGTAGGAAGGTTGTACATATACATTGGTTGTGGTATATAAATTGGTATAGGAACAGGAATAACATATTTTTGTTCCAAATAATCATCTGTTTGACATTCGGCTTCTGCAGTTTGTGGAACAGCACTAACTGCTTTATTTAATGATATTGCTTTGCACATTGTTGATTTATTACTAACTTGTGTCGGTGCAGCAGGAATTGTAACAACTTGTGTCTTATGTTCAATTCTTGTCGGCGGTGTTGCAGCTCTTGATGTTGTGGGAATTGGAGTCCAACTGGATGTACCATTAAGTGATGATATTTTTACGCGCGATGGCAAATCTGAAAGTCTTTCAAGCTGAACAGTCAATTCAGGAACTGGAATTGGTGATCGAGAACGCATTCCTACTGGATTGTATAATGACATTCTTGAACGTTCGCGTCTTCCAGTGCTTAATGATTGAACTCTAGCAATTATTGGAACGGTTGCTTGTTGTTTTGCTATTTCAACTGTAATTAATTATTGGAAGTAAGTTAAAAATGAGTAAAATTTAAAAAAAAAAATACTCATTTCCATAGTTTATCTCAAAGCAAAACATGAAAGGCTTATTAAAACTCATATTATGTTCTCTTTTTTGGGAAAGAAGGATGGGGGTCTAGGATTCTGTAACAGCTCAAACAGAAGAAACTAGAGTATTGAGTAGAAACAAGCCAGCAAATGTTAGAAAGTTTAACGCTTGGCGGGTTATCTAATCAGCATATGTTTGAACATTCAAAGCTTGATGGATAGACCAAATTTTCTATATTTATTCAATTCATGGTTGAATTTTATAAAAATCATGGTAAACTTTGCATGGTTGAAGCAACTGCTGTTCCTACTATATTAAGATAGTAAACATTTAAGTATGCATCTTTTAACTTTATGAATTTTAAGGTTTTTCAAAAAAGCACGTGTTCAATATGATTACGTTCGTCCAGGACTTCACTCTTAAAATAAATGATGCTGAATCTTTTTTTATATTGTAGATATAAACAAGATTTACAACTTTTATGAAGATCCTACAAAGTTTTAGTGAAATTTTGCTGATGAAAATAATAAAAATAAATTCCCATAACTTTTCAGGATAGCCCATAGTAGTGGAATTTTTTTACATGCTTTGAAAGCTCTTTGGATGAACTATCAGAACGTACAAACAGCTTGAGTTCGGTTCCTGATACAATCTTGAGCAATTTGACTTTGAAGTGTGACCAGAAATACATTTCAAAACAAAAAATTGAAAATAAATTTTGTACGTTTTTAAAATTTTAGTTTTTTTCTTTAGATCAATAGATTTCATCAAAGCGCATATTTTGAGTATAAATTTGTCATAGTTTGAACAATTTTTTACTTAAATTTCAACAAAATCATTTTTATATATTTTTTCAAAAAATTTTACTTCAATTATTTTAGAACAAAACTTATTTTAAATCTTGTGATTTTGATATTTTTTGAAATTTCGATTTTTTTATGTTAAAGTATCACTATTAAAGCAACAATTTTTTAATTTTTTTTTACTTTAAGGTAATTTTTTTATAATTTTTTGCAAATTACACTCATTTTTCTTATCAAATTTTATTTTATAATAATTCTAAATATTGAAATTTAATGTAATATGCATGTAAATACTCTTAAATATTTAAAGATCACATTTTATCCAATTAATGTATGATTAAAGCTGGAATGTGCTCATCTTTGATATGTTCCTTTAATCTAAAGGTAATTTATTTTCGATTCAGAACATATAAGCATCCAATCAACTATTTTTAATAAATTTCGGTATACATATTTATTTCCATACAATTGTAAAGCATAAACTATCACCACGAATTATTTAAATTAAAGTTTAAAACCCCATAATGAAAATAGTTTTTAAAAAGGAAAACGCTATCTGAGTTTCATCCAGTGAATTGTATATCTCGGAACTTTGGCTACTTTTGTAAGTACTTTCATAAATGGGAATGAAAGAGCTATCATTTAGACAAAAGTTTTCGATTTCTGGCCCATAGTGCAATACAGCTCTTCTATAAAGCAGTACGGATCAAATGCAAAAAACTAGAAGTTTCTAAGATGTTTCGTTATTGAGATTTCTTATTGATTAACTTGTTTGTTTGCTTAAAAAAAGAAATTTCAGTCACAAATTATCTCTGGACATTTTCAGGTATCTTGCTTCATTTTCTGACAAAGTTCGAAAAACTTATTTATCAATCTGAACAAAACCAATAAATTCACACGTGAATACGGTGTGAATATAAAATATTTCCATACAAAATTTATAACAAGAGAAGGGGTTTGGTTAAAAAATGTCATTTTTTGCGTAACGTAATAAGTGAACGAGCCCTAAATCAGATTAAAGTACGATAAGAACATATAGTTTTAATGAAAAACTTGCTTTTTGATATAAAAAAAAAATTAAAATTGTAAAAAATACTCAGTTTTGTTTACTAATGGAATTACCCAATTAAAAAGCAATAAAGATGTTGAAACTTACTTGCTTGAGTTGAGGGTTTGATTCGTTTGGCTGTGCCTGCAGGAACAACAGCAGTAGGATCATCTTCACTCAATTTGCTCTTACTAAACATTCCTTGAAATCCTATGGCGCATTGATAAGTACAAAAACTTCGAATTGAGGTGTCGGACATAGTCAAGTGATATTGTGGTTGTTTTAAAAGCTTGCAATGTGAACATTTCGTACGCTTCGGAGTTAATGCATTTAATGATACTTCATGGAGTGATAAACAGTTGAGTGAACACATTCGAATCTTTCCGAAATTCATTTGAATCATGTCATAGTTGTATTTACTAACTTTACACCAATTGCATTGCCAAATTTCACGACTTTTGCATATAAACATATTCATACAAACTCGATTACAAAAGATTTTCGATTCTGTGATTTGATAGATTGTGAATGAATCGTTGGATTTGCGTTCAAAATACTTTGTGCACATGTCACATTGGTCTGGGACAACATTGTTGACAAATTTAAAAGCCGAGAAGCATGGACTCGAGCAGAAACAATGAACATTCTCGTCTATTAAGACTTCAATTTTTGCAATTTTCTTGTTGTTACAGACAGAACATACATTTGGCGATTGTTTCTTCTTGGGATTTAAAATATTCTCATATTTCTTTAAGCACTGCTGATTACAGAAATCTCGATAAATTCTCTTTTCGCCAACTTGAGCTATAACAACGTTCTCTTCATCAATTAAATTATTCTGACACAATGCGCATTGTTTGATTGTTTTCTTAAAGTCATCGAGACATTTTGTACTACAAAATTGCTTTAAATCAAATCCAAAACGTACACAAAGCTTTCCTATACTTGCTAAATTAACCGCTTCATTACAAGTGACACAAGATGCTCCAATAAGATTCTGATAAAGACCCAAGCATTTTTCATTACAAAAATCGAGCGTCTCCCATTGAATTGTTTTAGCCGTGAAATTAACGACATGGAAACATTGATTACATCGACGAATAAACGATTCATCGCGATCTATACGTGCTGCTTCGACTTCTGCATCTGATCGAGCGACAATTTTTGGAATTTCTGGTTCATCTTGTACTGGTGCACGTTTGCGTGCTTCTCTAACTCGAGTTGATCGTCGTTGTACTTCTTTCACAATATACTTTTCTGTATTATCTCCAATAAACTCCTGAAGACATTTATCATCACACAAATATTTATCTTCTGTACTTTGTACAGTTTCAATCACTGGTTGAGGTATATCCTCTGCTCGTTCCTCTTCGCCTTCTGCTGGTGGTGGAGGTGGTGTTATCTGAGGCTCCTTAGAAACATTTGATACGATAGTAACACGATAATGATATTTGCAGGATTTTGTTTCATTACATTTTGAACAGAGAAAATCAGCAGTAGGAATCTCATAAATGTAAACTTTCTTTTGTGTTAATGAATACTTATCGGGATTATCTTCGCGATGTTCCTTAACGCAATTAAATGAACACAAATATTTAATTTCACCCGTATCCTCTAATAATCTATATTGACACTGTACATTATTTTCACAATTTAAGCATGTTTCGTCAGTTAACTCTCCGACAACTTCACGAATTTCATTTTCATTTAATGGCACAGATTGATCGACAATTTCCTCTTCAATCTCTTCAGGTTCAGGATCGACAATTTCTTCTGGTTCCATTTCTTCCTCGTCTTGCGGTTCCTGTGTATCTATTTCCATTGTTTCTTCGGTTGTAGGCTCTTGTTCAGTGACTTCTTTTTCACCAACAATTGATTCCAATTCTTCTTCTTCTGATGTTTCTTGTGGCTGAACGACACGTTCTTTATCTGCATCTGTCAATTCTCTTTCAGCATCACCAAACAAACAGACGTTCTCGTCAACACCTTCTCCTTCGTTCGTTGTCTCTGTTGTCTCTTCTAAAATTAGCATTATGTTTTTAAATAAAAAGTAAGTTATTAATAATTATTAAATTAATAAATTTTACCTTCTTCTGGCTCCTCTACTCGTTCAGAACTTTCAGTAATTTCGCTATCATCACCTAATTCTCCACTAGTCATTTCTGTTCCTGTATCTACACTTTGAGATTCTTCAGTCATTTCAGTTTGTTCGTCAATTGTTTCAGATACTTCATTTTGATCGAGCTGATCTAAATTTTCTTCACTGTCTGGAACTTGCTGATCAGTTTCCATAGCAGTTTCTTGATCTTTTGAGCCACTTTCGAGGTCCTGATCAATTTGTTCTTGTTCTACCTCACCAGCACTTCTAAAATCATCGTCATCATCCTCTTCATTTTCTGGATTTTCCAAATTTGGTGCAGGCGTTTCAGTCTGTTCCTTTTCTTTCTCGATATTTGAATTGTCTACATTTTCGATTTCTGGCTCATTTTCATTACTTTCACTGCCTACATTTTCTGGCTCATTTTCAATATTTTCACTGCTTACATTTTCAGGCTCATTTTCGTCCTCAATTGGGTCTTTTGTGTGTTCGAGGACATTACTTTCGGAAAGTTTTAGTGCATCAAAAGCATCATTACTATCGTCATTTTGATCGACACTTATTTGAGAAATGTTGATAGATTTTTCAGTATAATCTTCTGATTCATTTTGTTTACTTTGAAATGTCTCGTCAAAATTACTTTGATCTAGTGGTGGATCTTGATCTGTTTGCATTGTACTTTCATCTTCTGGATTTTCTACATTTAGATTGTCAATTTCACAACCGGCTTCTTCGATTTCTGGCTGTTCATTCGATTCCACTGGTTCCTCTAGTTTTTCACTCGCCTCATTAAATGTCTCTGGAGCATTAGATGTACTTGGACAACATTCCGTCTCGTCTACTTCCATTTGCTTCACATTTTCATTAGATACTGAAGCATCGTTCAAAACATCATCAAAACTAGTCTTTTCTGTGTCACTTACGTCCATAGTATTTGTTATTTGAGGTTCATCCATGATTCAAGATTTTCAAAAACTTTGCCTGTATCATTAAACTGCAATGGAAGTAACGAAAATGCACAATATTATTATTTTATTATTTATCTTCCCGCTAAAAACACATTTCTAAGGTGCATCGTCGATTTTATGTTTCTCACTTTCAAACCCCGATTGTAATATAAAATGGGGTTCATACAATCGTATTCTCAAAGCGACGACGCCTTCATATTTTAGAAGAAAAGCGTCTTTGAAATTTTCAATATTATTTTATGCCTTTTTTACTATAATTCACTGTTAATTTATGTTCGGCATTATCACCTTAATTAGCGATTGTAGCTTCAACATTAATTAAAATAGGAAATACTGCTGTAAAAGCTTTTAAAATACATAAATATAAATAAATATTTGCAGCATAATGAAGAAAATTCATTTTGTCGTCAAAACACTTAAAGTACATTCACAATTGCACTTACTTGATAATGTTTTCGTCTATCTGTAGATTTTAATGACTTTTATGGCTCAAAACACTACAATTTATGGATTTAATATAACTTTTTAAAAATTTTCTGTATCAATAAAAGCAAAGTTTTTGAACAATTTTTTTCAAACTTTTTTCTTTTTTTGAAAAGTGCTGCGAGTTTTAATCCATTTGAATTTTCAAAAACCGTTATTATAAAAGTTTTTCTGTCAGCAAAATTAATGTCAATTTCGTCCTTTAACTATGGTTTATATATTTTCCAATAAAGACATGAGCACATATTTTTAAGCAATTTTAATCTTCCCTTTATTGGGCTTTTGAAAAGCTAATAAGTTTAATAATATATAAATTTATATAAATAAGTTAATACATAATTGGTTTTTTATGTTCTTTGTGTTAAAAATAAGCTTGATAAAAAAAGCAAAAGCACTGCAATTGTATTTCTTCTCATCAGATCTTCAGCATTGCTTTACTTCTTCTTTATATTGCTTGGGCTAGTCGATGAAAATACTGACGATGCTGACATAAGATTTTCTATATACTGTCCTAACACCATATTTTCGGACCTAAGCCGTAGATTTTCTTCCTTGACACCATCAACTCGTTGGTTCAAGTCATCAAGAGTATTTTGTAATTCAAGTACTTGAGAAATCAAGCGAGCTTTCTCTATATCATCATTTTGATCATTTCCTTCGTCGTCTAAACCTCTTGATCCATCATATGAGTTAATTGAATCCATTGATTTTGATCCAACATTGCTCATATTGTTATTTGTATGTTCATCCTCAATAACGACTGCAAAATAAAAAGTTATTAAAATAATGAAAAAAATTGATTTTTCAAGATGATTTAAGTTTTGTAGAATTTAAGTATTTTAACACAATTTTACTTTGTTCATCATCATCTATTGCTGGAATGTTGTCAAATCCATTCAAATCTGATGATTGTGAGTGAGACATCTCTGTTAATTGTGCTTAAATTAAATAATTCTTGATTTTGATAAAGTTTTCACTTTTTAGTCTACAATAATATCTACTGGATTATTCATAGGTAGATTAGTGTTGCCAGAAAGAGAAAAGATATGGAACAAGTAAGGATGTCTTCAGTTTTCTAAATTTCTCTGCATTAAAGGAATTAAATTAATTGTGTAACGGAAAATTCAAAACACACGTGTTGAGAAGCTGAAATTATAACGGTTTTCAAATGTTTGAATTATTTTTGAAATCAAGTTGACCAAAATATTTAAATTTGTGAAATTTATTGGTGCTGTTAAAGTTAATTTTACACTTTAATTAAGTATCTTACACTGCATATTTCAGATAGAACAATTAGTATTTCCAAAGGAGTAATAAATAAAATTGCAGAACAAGCCAGACAAAGTGTTTAAGAAGTGTTTTTTTCTTTATTTCATAAAGTGCTTATTATTTGTTGAAAGTTTATTTTGTAATTTTATAAAAATTGAAAGAAAAGTCGAGTCAAAAATTGAATTAGTTAAAGTATTTTCATGAATTATGACGGATTTTGATGCAATTTATGTGGAGGATTTAACTGAGGAGGTTAATAGCTTAACAGAAGAGCCGATAGTGGTGCGAGGCATTGGTGAAATAACGATGTGAGTTTTTAATAATGAAAAATAATCAAGGAAAAGATATAACAAAGAGTTTTTGGAATATTTTTAGTTTTGGACTATCGAATCGATTTAATACAGAATTTCCATCCCAGCTCATCTCAAAAATAGCGCCAGAAGAGTTTTCAGCCACATTAAGTAGAGTTAATGCAATATTAAAGAAAAATTTGCCCATAAATATAAAGTGGTAAGTCTTGATGTATAATATGGAAAAATCAATGCTATTCTCAGCTTATTCACTCTCTCTTTCATCCATTCAATAAACTTGCTTATGCATTTTATGCAACAATATGATACATAAATGCTAGGCGGGTGTATTCATTTCCGAACGCTTAATGATACTTTTCATATTATTAATTAATTCATTTATCTCCTGGATTTAGGCTTTGTTTTGGTTGCTGCTGTTGTCTATGCAGTTTAGGATTATCAATGTGGCCAGTCATATGCTTGAGTAAAAGGGTATGTAAATTCTGTTAATTTTGGAAGCAAAGCCGAAAAGTAGGGCTTGTGAAAAAAAGGTCAAATAATGCCTTGCTTTACTTCCTCAATATGTGTTCTGTTTTATTTTATTATGTTAATCAACTTACACTTTTCTTTCTCTGTGATCTCTTTATTCATTCATTAATTTTAGACTCAAAGTCAGATCAATAAACTGCTGGATTGGGAGAATAACAATTTATATCACAAATTAGGATTACATTTTTCTCTAAAGCGAATGAACTGTGATAACAATACGAATTCGATGCTAGAGTATGTGCTTCTGTTAGAGTTTCTGCCAAAAATTGCAATTTATCGTCCAGATTAATGAAAATTCCTTCGTGATTCATCAAAATACACATCCATAAAAAAGTTTGTAGACTGTAAGTTCTAAAAGAGAAGGAATGAGACGATAAAATAGAAACAATGAGGAGAAAATATGGTACGTCTTTGCATCAGCGATCGAATTTTAATAATATTACGAGTAAGAAATAAGAAGGCATGAATGTTAAAAGTTCTTCTGTATATTTTAGCTATAACTTTACACATGCTCCTCTATGTTATCTTTCTTACGTTTTGTTTTTACATATTATTCATTTAAAAGTTATTTTTAGTTATATTTAATTAAAAAAAAATCAAATCAAGAAGAAGTATGAAAGAATGTTTAAAACTAATTAGATTTAGGAATGTACACAACAAAATTAAGATCGATTTAAGAGAGGAATTTCTCGCTTCCAAAATTTTCTGTCATTAAATTGATTTATGCACTGCGCACAGATCTTCCTGGAAAATGTGCATTAATCAATTTTTTATGATTTCTCCCTACGTTAAACAGAAAAGCAATTTGTGGTTTTTTCATTAATCATTTTCTAAAGCAAACTCATTTACTCTTTAACAAATTATAATTCTCCTTTTAATGAAACAAAATATAAAAGTTTGAAGAAATGATTATTAGTTAAGTTGAAGTATTCTTCAATATTATTACTACTTTTATGATTATTGTCAAACTTATTAATTAAAAGATACAAATTTTGCGTTGAATGTAAAGAAAGCATATGATAAGCAAAACCAACAAAAAAAAAATCATCATGTAAATAAAGTAAGATTTCTTAAATCGTGAAAAGTGAATTTATTACATTTTTGTACATAATAAGTAGTTGCACACGTCATAACTCACTTTGACATCTTAATTTGCAGGCTTATTAAAACTTTTTCTCTCTCAATCATGACAGGTTTCTATGTGTCAAAATGTTCCGTATAGAGTTGTGAGTATTTAATTCATTTATCGAGAATTTATGTGTAGAATGCACCGTGAAATTTTAAATTTAATGACATAATACTTTAAATGCTCATACAAAGGTTAACAAGTCTTTATATACATAAATGCTACACTACCGTAAAATGATGTTTTAAGCGTTAAATAATTAATTTAATTGACAACGATTGAACTTGATTTATGTTGCACACTACGTGCATTCATTAGTCACGTGCTTGGACAAGAAAACTGGTTTCTTGTTTTAAAATTCATTTCGAAGATCTTTCGAAATCAAGAAAATTTATATTCCTAATTCTTGTTAATCGTTCGATGAATACAACTGATACATGAGAAATTATCTGCAACTTTACAATAAGTAAGGTGTTTATGCCATTTCTGATTCCCTTTAGTCGTTTAAGGACAATTAATTGTTGACAAAATTATTGTAAACATTCGAAATTCGAATATATTTGGGACCACGAATTCAAATTTTCGAAAACCACGTGTTGAATGCAGATTTGAACGAAAAATTAAATAAAACAAATGTCACTAATAAGAGCTCACAATTCACCAATATCTATCATAATTTTCTAAATGTTCCAACTACATTTTAATTATATTTTTTATTTGTAATTTTCGCAAATTAGTGCATTTTAATTAAACTCTTGACCTCACAGAGTGTTAATAGTTTCTTTTAATGTATTGATGTCACACAGAGAAAAAAATTCTTAGTAATGCACAGGCAGGTAGAAATGAATAATTTTAATACTCATTATACTCTGAATATTTTTTTTTCTCGAAACACGAAAAGCTATTGGCACGGCAGTCAACTTTTTGAGAGCTGAAGTCCTGAGCTTTTTAATTCTCAATATAATACAAAAAAATAAAACAACAACAACAACAACATTCAACACATGTTACAAACAAGCTCATTTTCTCAATTTTTTCTAGCGCACAGAAAATGATCAGTATATTTCTAACCGCCAAAGTGTTTTGAGCTGCTATCAGGAAATAAAAATTTGCTCGTCAAACTGTATTTTTCTTTTCTTAAATAATAAAAATTGATTTTATTAGCTTTACATGAATGAATAGCTGAATAGTTTAAGTTAAATAGTCAATTTTAGTAAATGTGTTAATAATTTTTAAAAGAGTGCATTTATTCTACTAAGTCTATATACGTGGTAAAAATGTCCATAAATCAAAATAACAAAATTTTAAACAAGTGAGAACAGGCTAGAGCAGGAAATATCAACAAAGAAATTAAGTCATTGATTTTGTGCACATATTTTATTGCTAAGTAGCTTGCAGAAACGGAATTCTCTCAATTGATCGCATTCTGTGTACATTTAACGTGAGGTAAAAACAAAACATAATGCACGTTAGTTAAATCGAGGAAACGAAAATTGAAATTTACGAAAAGAAATAATAAAATTAAGAAAAAACATAACAAAAATCACTGCCAATTGTACTGAGAGAATTGAGACTATTGTGCTGTTCGTATTTTACTCTCGTTTGCGAATAGATAAGCTCGTCAACAAAACAAGACAGCTTTGAGTATTGGAAGAAAAAAAGTCATCAAGCTTCGTTGCCAAAATTACTTCCTAATTTTAATGACGATAAAATTTAATATCAATTTCGTCCTTAATTATGTCAAACTGATTTTTATACCTTCTAGTTCATAATAGAGGCGGGAAATTTTGATCTGTGATGTGCATGAATTTACTAACTAGATCTTTAAGAGACGAGTTTACAGCTGAGAATTAAGTTAATTAAAAATTTGCAATCGAATAACTCTAGAATATTTTGAAATTCTAATAACTAGAAAGAATCGTGATTGTGATATGACGAAAAAGTAGCAAAAGCTGCAAAATATAAATAAACAAAATGTGCTGAAACAAAAGAGATGAGTCATAAAAGAAGGAATTTTTTATGTGTATAATTTCAGTGCTTCATGTTTCAAGTAATAAAATGAAAATAGTATGCTCGCTCTTGACTTTAATGTTAATATATATACGATATTGATTTTAGTGAATATTGACACACGATATAATATACCCAACGTGTATCAATTTAAAAAATGACAATTCCCAAAAAAGTAGTAGATATCAAATCAAACAATGTAATGAGTCAAATACATTAAATTATGATGTTTTATTTTCGTTTATTTTTGTTTTGAGGTCGCCGAGGGAAATACGAAAGTGCGATAAGAAATCCATAGAAAAATTAAAATAACTCAACATATGATATTGTGTATTAGGAGTCAAAGTTCATCATCTTAGTGCCACTTTATATGGGACGCATACGAATTGCAAAACTTTAATATTGACGTTCTGTAATTATATAGAGTATTTTCATAAATTCATTATAATTCACATGAGCTTCTATGTTGTGCATATCCAACATTCGTTTTCCATTTATTGGGTGGTTCTCTATTACTGCTCCTTTTTACATAAATCGTCCAAAGGGGTGCATCATCAAATATTTTCGCGTTTTTCCCCAATTCAATTTGTAGAAATTTTCATTGACGTTAGGGTTTTCATCTTACAACCTCACCTAATGCGAATGTAATAAATTTTATCTTCGTTCATAAATGATGTCAAACATTTAGGGGTTTTAAAGTTGTGTGACAATGTAAAGAAAATCTTCGATTCGTCATTTGCGAACGGGGACTACTTATTTCAAATTCAAATCCCTGGTAATCTACATATATCGAATAGCCACGATACATGGCATTATCACACGCACATAATACTGTATTGTGTTGATAATAATGAATTAATTTCATGTATATTTCTATAAATAACATAAAATGTTAGTAGTGCTATTTTAATTTCTTCAATTCGAATAGAATATCAAGCTCGTATCGCACACATCAGATTCACATACCTCTCGTAGAAGGTTTTTAAACATGCCCACAATTAATAAACAGTCATAAAAAGAAAAATTGATGAAAATCATTTGGGATGAACTGAAATCAAAAAACAATTTTACACATGATTTTTTTTTCTCATTTCTCTGCATACAGAGTGTGTCTGAATATCCCAATAATAATAATAATAGTAGTAATAATGATATTCTCGTCTAGCCGATCAATTGAGGAAAAAGAAGCCTCACTTTATTTTTTCATGTCTAATCCTCTGCAAGGTTGTTCTTTGCCGTAATAATTTTTGCGTGTTTTAAAAAACATTTTTAACCATTTCAGTAGATTTCAATTTTCCGTTTCTTGTGATCATTTTAAAAAATTCTTTGCCTCAAAAATGAAACAAATGTGATCAAAAAATAAAAATAAATACTATAGTGAACCACAAATGCAGGATGGCATATTTAACTCCGGAATCTGAATCTTCACCGACAACTGATCTCTCATGGACACAATTAATAACGGAGCGACAAAAGCCGACTATAGTTAGGATAGAAGAAAAACCCAAAGAAATAAATCCTGAAGAAGTGCAATTAAATGGAAATACGACTGAAAATGGACGAAGGCCTCCACGTGAGCGGCGAGAATCAATTTTAGGAAAATTTAATAGGCATTTAAGGATGTCTTTAAAGGCAGTTTCAGAGTCACCAGGACCTCTGACTAGGTAAGTCACATGATATGTTATTAGCATGAGAAAATGAGTAGTCACATGCCGTTTCAAACACGTTAATTACATCAGCATAAAAGGTTAAATGCTGTTAAATGTTAAAAAATAATAATATTTACAACTTCATTTCAATTACATACAGCCTATAAAGGTTGTCATCGCAATCAATCAATCAATCATTAAACTGATCACCTTTTAATTAGCGGTAAACATTTCATATGTTATTAACTATTTTTTACGCTCCAATAAACCAGACGCAATCCTCACTTAACATACTAAATGAGTTTATTATGAGATGAAGAAAAAAAATCCTATTAACATTTTCACAAGTGCCTCAAATATGAAAATTGATAAATGTGTGATCTTATACAAATTTTCCCTCATCAACTTTATAGCCATCATTAAAAAAGATTAAAAATAAGCCTTCTCATTTCGCATTCATCTTTAATATGTGAACAATTGAGTGCTTTTTTTTCTTTATACAGAATAACAGAGCTCGAAGTCGACTCAAAACCGGGTCGAATTCATTTTCTCGGAGTCAACTCAGAGTCGACTTGGAGTCAACTCGGTAATTTTTTTGTATGAAGAAGTCGAGTCAACTCGAGTCCACTTCGAGCTCTGCAGAAAAATATCAAATTAGTGCTGATCTTGAAAAAGATCGTAGATGTTTTTTTACAAGTTACAGTTTTACCTTGAATTTGTTTTGTACAATTTTACAAGATCCCTTTAAGGAGTTCTAATCAGATATACTTGATAGTTACTTTAAATTGTAAAAAATTGTCATGTCATCATGATTCTTAGAACAGAAGTACGTAATTTTTCTGGAGTTTCCAAAAATCACGACTTCATTTGATGTAATAACAAAATAATGATTAACTAGTGCAATCCAGAATTTGATGTGTGGAATTCAACGATTAAACTTTGTGTTTTGAAAAATATTAAATCCAAATGATACGTATTTAATTTTAAAAGCAAACAATTTCCTTTGGGATGTAAATTTTAGGAACTGAAAGGGTTGTATGTGTTTTGAAAGTTAAAAAACCAAGGCTTTAGAAATTTGAAGCGGGATTTAATCCTTTTTTAAGACCACAAAACCGTCTAGCCAAAATTGTTAAATTCGAAAAATTATTAATTGACGTAATTATTAGGGGCCGTTCACTTATGACGTCTAGGGGGGGGGGGGGGGGGGGTCAGACAGAAAAGAACAATAGAAATTCTAAAATATATTGTTTGTTTTTGAAAAATGACCGGTAATTTCGGACGTCATAATTGAACGGCCCCTTAATAATATTTAACAAACTTGCTTTGCACAGGCAAAACAAATCCGTCAATGAATGGAAAGCATTTATAGTAAAGCAAATGACAGTGATAGGGTCAAAAGTTATCCATTATTCATTCTGAGTCATAGAATCTCAACTGTCTGCTATTTTAAAATCCATAAAACAAAATATCACCAACAGCATATTCAAAAATAAATCAAATCCACTTTTTAAGCAAAATTTCAACGAAACATGACACTCTCTTAATGTTGATTTAAGATTATTAGGAAAAGCAAATGTGATGAGAAGACATTATAGAGAGGAAAATTGTATTTTCCCATCAGAAATAAATCATTCTAATATTATATTTCAAACAGCATTTAAAAAATCGCGATTAAATAATTACGCAGCTCAAGATTATTTCTTTGTAAAGCAATTAATTAATAGTATAGTTTTCATTAGTTGACTGTCATTTAGCTAGAAATCAGTTCTATTTTCATTAACAAATGGTAAAATGGCGATTCCACAAATAGAGAATCTATGACTCCTCCCTCTTGATTAAAAATCTTTTTGGATATATTCTTGTAATTAATAAAATAGTAATGAACATGGCAAAAAACTTAACTCTGCTCTGTAATTTTTCCTTAGTCCCAACACACACCTGTAATACTGGACGAGATAGCACTTTAGTTTTTACATAAAATTGTTTCTCAATTTTTCATTCATTTCTCTCCTTCATAGTCTCCAAAGCGTCTCGAATCTGTTTTCTGATTTGCGGTTGACTTTTATTATTGTTTACAAAATTTATAGCATTCTTTTCATCAGACATTATTTCTTTTTCTTCCCAAATCCTACATCATGGTATTATGATGTTCCTTTCATCGTATGAATGTACATGATGTTTTCTTTTAATAAACGACTGTTTTCTTTTCTTCAACAGCATCAATTAATAATAAACCTGCAAATTAAATGCTTAATGTAACCATGTGTTGATTACTGAATGAATTATTCACTTACTTGAATTATTCATACATCCAATTTTCTCATAAATGGCTACATTAAATGAATATTTATTTACGATATTTGCAAAATATTGAATATCGCTTACTGTCATTATGACATTTGTGGCACACATGCAACCCAAGAAAATACATATGCTTGAGACGAACTTTTACTATATATTAAATTTGAGATTTTTTTTTTCTTTTTTACAAAAACATTAAAAAGTTTTCAGCATGAACGATAAAAAAAATATGAAAAGAAAAAATAGTTGACAAAAGTAAATGAAATGTTTTAGGTCGCAACAATGTTCGCTCATTCTTTTTTAAAACTGTATGATCAACCTCAAACTTAATTTATAGTATTTTTCTGCTATCACATTAAGCAAATAAATTTACAGGCTTTACCTTGAAACTCGGGGGCAGCTGAAATTAGAGTAAAAGCAAACATGTAAATCATAAAAATTTGAAACGAAAGCGAATTAAATCTTTTTTATGTCAACAGATTTAGATTTAGATTTTGTAGGAAATGTGCATTTAAAAAAATATTTTGTCAGGACTACAAAAGAATAAGAAATTCGTGCACTTAAATAAGTATTAACATTCCTTATTTCAGACTCATCGTGCGTAGCAATCAAATTTGATACTTTTTGAAATTTTTCTTAAATATAAAGTCCATCGACACTTCAAATCACCATACTAATTGAAAATTAGAGACGAGTTTTATTATTCACTTGTTGATCACTTTCAATCGAGAAACTTGCGAGAAAAACATTTTTATTAAGAATACCAGAACAGCCTATAATTTTGACACAACGGAAAAAGACACAAAAAAAAGAATGCTCAAATTTTAAAAGTTAAACATGGATACTTTATCACTATAAATAGTTAAGAATTATTGAAAATTTATTCTTTACACGCCCAAAAATTCTAAAAATAGACAACTTCGTCATTAATAAATACAATAAAAATATGTTAAACCAATTCCCTCAAGATTAATTGATAAGCGTAAAAGGGTAGAAACGTATTATTCCTTACTACGCCTGAACTTTTTGTAACATGTAGGCAATATGAAAATTTAAATGATTAGTCTAAAATGTCAGAATTTAGAGATCCAATTTTTTATTAACTTTTTATTTTCGGACGTTTGGATAAAGTGATAGTCACAGCACATTGAACTTGATGAAACGTGCTAAAATAAAATGTTTTATAATACCATGTGACACATAAATGATCAAATTAAATAAAAGGAGACAAAAGTACGTTATTGTTGCTTTATTTTTTTTTACTGAAACGACGACATTGCTCGTAGTAATAATTCAGACTATGTTAAACTGTTCACATAGTGAAAAAAAGATACTGTGAGAGATCTCGTTTGCTCATTAGGACGCAAAGTAAATTTATTATGTTTATTTTGACAATGATAAAGAAAAAAAAGAGAGTTAAGCGAATGAAGACATCACTCGTCATGTGCTTTAAATATAAATATATTTTTTAAAACTGAAGTATTCATCAGATACAGTTACACTAATAATTCATGACTGCTTAATTCCCTTCATCTTCTTACTTATTTATTTGGTTGAAAGAGCAAGTCCAATTTCTCTTCCCGATATTTCGGAAGATGATAATTTTTCACACACATTTTAAAATCAATGTCAATGGCATCCAGCTGCACGTCTTTACGACATTTAAAGCAAGCATAATATACCACGCTGTGAACTATTTGGTGTGTGAAAATGCAAAACAGACGACGTTATTGGCAACAACAAGGCGAGAAATGTTTCTTAATTTACGAAGAAAAAAAAATCCTTATTTTTTGCCAGCATTCGTGCTATTTAAATACTTAATTTGCAGTCGAGGTAAATGTTTAAATCACACTTAAAGTATATGTGTTAGAAAAAAAGAGTTGTAAAAAATCGCAGAAGAAAATGTTACTGAAGTATGAGCGTTCAGGGATATGTTTCGTACAATTTACGTTTCTACTTGACTTTGTAAATAGCTTTTCAAAATGTAAACAATTTCTTTATTTCTTATCAAACTCACATGAAAAGTAAACGTGTTTATTATCATTTATTTATTCTCATGTTTTATAGTTTATAAATATGTCAACGTGTTAAAGGATGTTTGAAGATTATTAAGAATTCTGCTACTGACATTTGCAATCCTACACCTTGTTATTTTAAAAGTATCTCAAACATGTTTGGAAAGCTTATTTTATTAATTTACATACCTAGCCAAGTTTTGCTATTAGCAAAACCCTACATTACCTAGCCAAGGACTATGGATAGTTGATGAAAATTCGAGTTCGAATTTACAATGTTTACAATTTATGAGTAAATTTTTCAATTGCAATTTTTTCATCTATTTTAAAAATAATTTAAGCTATGACAGTTGCAAATCATTTATAATCACTGAATAATTACAGCAACATGCTTAAACAGAACCAAAAATGACTTGAAATTCTAAATTTTGAGAATTTATGAAAACATTCATTTTCGAACTTTCGTAAACAACATCGAAAAAAATACGGGAAAATTTAAAATATTTATAGTTTAACTGAGAGCGTGCTATCCATAGTTGAAGCTTTTGGGATAAAATTACGAATGATGACGTATAAAATTCAATTATTTCCCAAATTATTGAGTCATGAGAAATTATTGTGTTGACAAAATGCATCAAAACAAAGATATAAAGCAAGAAGTACATTTCAATGGATATTTTGGAATTTTTCATCAATATT